TCCCATTGGAATCATTTAAGGTGGCCTCGTAAGCAAGCCCAGTAATGGTCTAACCCGAAAAGGAAAAAAGTATCTCCACTTGATCTTCAGGAAGGTGATTAAAAATGGGAATATGGATAATATGATCAGCGAGTTCCGCAACAAAACAGCAATAAGGTGAGCGATGTTTGGGGTAAAGGAAAATGTGTTGTTGCTGGCATTTCCAGGAGGTCTAAGGCTTCTTGGCAAAGTGCTCTCAAATGGGCTGCTAACTACTTTGCTATCGAGATTGACCATGTATTCATCCCTATACTCTTTGTAGACATGACCATGCTAGTGGCCTATAACTTGGGCCATGCTGTCTTTTCCCAATTTTCTTATAAGAGGCTTGAATTTATTTTTACCAAGAAGATCCACTATGCTGCGTTGAGGGCCAATGCAGCAAATTGATAGGCAAATTTTTTTTTATGGCTCATTGTTATAGAGTTGCACTAGGTTTTAAACTTAATTAGGATAAAATCTTGGAATATAGGTTCCCTCAATGGTAAATTAATGAAATTAGTTGATATTATGATTCATAAAAAGATTACTATCTTATGTATTCAAGAAACTAAATGGGTTGGAGAAAAGGCTAAGGAAATTGATAACTTAGGTTTTAAACTTTGTTTTAAACTTTAGTATTTTGGCAATAGTCGCACTAGAAATGGTGTAGGTGTATTATAGATAAGAGTGAAGAATAATGTTGTAAAAATTAATAGAGTTGCAGGTAGAATTATAGCCCTTAAGATTATCTTTGATACTAAGATTTTTAATATTATAAGTGTTTATGATCCTCAAGTAGGTTTAAATATAGGGTTTAAAGATATATTCTAGAATGACTTAGAAGACTTAATACAAATGATACCACTTGAAGAAAGATTTTTTATTAGAGGATATTTAAATGGACATGTCGGTAGAGTGGTAGAAGATTTTAGAAAAATTTATGGTCGCTACGGTTTTAGAGTGACTAATGAAGAAGGTGGAGCTATTTTAGCGTATGATTTTGTTATTACTAATAATTATTTTTTTATGAGAAGAAGAGATTGTCGAGATTCTAAAGATTGTAAGGTCATTATAAGTGAGGATTTAAGTACCCAACATCGTTTATTAGTTCTATATTTTAAGGTAAAGAGTTGTAAAATAAAGAATAAGTTGTAAAATAAAGAATGCTATGACTCATCATTGTAGAATTATATGAGGAAACTAAAAAAACACAAATAAAATTATTTTTATAAGTAAAATTTATGATGTCAAAATTTGGGATGTTCATGTGAGATAAAGTAAGAAATATTATTAAACAAGTGGAGAAAGATGTATTTGGAGAATAAAAAATTTTTTCTTTAAATAAAAATAGTTGGTTTTGAAATAATAATGTGCAAGAAAAGATAAAATATAAGAAGTTATGTTATAAAAATTCGTTTGAATGTAAAAACTTAGAGAGCTGAGAAAATATATCAAACGGCCCGTAGAGAGTCTAAAAGAACAATCTGTGACGCTAAAACTTCTGCTTTTAATGGTGATAATCAAAAAGTATTTTTCTTTGGAAAAAAAATATTCAACATAGGTGTGTGAGTTATTTTGATAAACTTTTTAATGAAGTTTCTGAAAATACGATCGATGTTAGTAATCTTAATATTGTTAATAATAATAGAACGTTTCATTTTTACCGTCATATTAGTAAAAATGAAGTTGAGGAGACTTTAAAAAAAACCAAGGGTGGAAAGTCTGTAGGACCTGATGATATCCTAATTTAAGTATGAAAATATTTAGGAGATTTGAGAATTTTTTGGCTTACTAAACTCTTTAATATTATTTTAAAAACTAAAAAGATGCTTGAGGAGTGGAGGAAGAGTATTTTGGTTCCCATTTTTAAGAATAAAGGGGATGCACA